GTTTGCCGAACATCTCCTTGATCTCGGTAGATAGCTTTGGAGCACTAAGTGAGGGTGTAACGTTGACTTTGTTGAGCACGTGGCGTACTTCTCGGTGAGCCAAAATCGGTTTTCGACCACTTCTGACCTTGTTTTGGACTGAACCATTAGCTCTAAAGTTCTTAATGATTGTCTGGATGGTTGTCCTTGCTAATTTATACTTGGTCCATATTTGTCTCTGCGACAGCCCCCTTTTTGTCCACCCTTCCAGTCCTGAATGACAAGATCTCGAATAGCAATAGGAATTTCCTTGCGTGTCGACGCCATCATATTTTTCTGGAAGAAAATTATTTAAAAATTAATGCGGCATATGTTATTGATAGATTTATTAAGTTACCTGATTTTATAAATTGGAGAGATTTTTGTTGTTCACAATTAAAGTGAAGTGGACGTAGGCATTTGTCCGCTCAAATTTCATCCTCTCTCGCTCTGCACTATGATTCTCAGTTTTCCCAGAATTTTCAGAAATAACTCATATGTTTTATGAAATTACGTTAAATTTGATATATCAATGATGAAAATTGGTTCAGTAGTTCAGTGACAATTTGAAAATGAAATTGACGCGACTATGTGGACGTAGACATCTGTCCGACACTGTAGGTGTGTTATATCATGGTAGTATTTTTTTAAATATAGTTTCGCTGATTTTGTAAATATTATATGCATGTTTTTACACTTGATTCTATTGGTTCAATTTAAAACTAGTGCTGGATAATATAGATTTTTTGGTCTTGGTTTGAATTGGATTTTTAATGGTTTGAAAGTTATGGATTGGATTGGATATTTTTTTTACAAAATTTCGAAAGGATTGGATGGATTGGATAAATCCAAATGGATTTTGGATTGGATGGATTTTTCGTTTTGGTAATCCATTTCACCTCTAGTGCAAGCATGTGTTTACTTATGGCTATATCTTGCCAGAACGATTCTTCTATCGCGCGATTTAGCCATAAGTAAATATATGCTTGCACATATTTAAGTCTTTTCTTACTTTGTTTCTATACACTTATGTAGGTCTTTTCTGAATTAAGCTTCGACGGCACTTAGGTCTTTTATGAATTAGTACGACGATATAGTTATTTAAACCATAGACTGGTAAACAAACCAAGCTACTCAATTGGTTTTAAATATATATTTATCAATAACAATAAATAAATAAACTAGTCATCCACAAGCAACATATCAATCTGAAAGGCAGTATATAAATACATAGCTGCAAAAACTAGAATTTCATGAATATAGACTGATGGATAATTCGCAAGCTATCCACGTGCCGCCATATACAGATATGCCAGATATGAATCGATTTGTCTGTATGTTTGCCTTCAATTTCGTCTAAACCTTTAATAAAACAGAAGTTTAAAATCAACTCGAAATGTCAAGTTGGATATTGTCCGCCTAACAAGACACAGGTCAGACGTGTTTCTCACCGATATTCCTAAACCAGCAGTAAAAATCTAGTAACTAAACACTAACAATATTTAATGTATCACTTGAACACTGCCAGAAATGCGGGGGTTATAAAAGAATTTATCAATCTGGCAAAAATGCTCATTGTCTCCATCGGAAAACGGACAGATGGACATCGGGCAGTTCAGAAAAGTTAAAACTAGTGTCTTTGCCAATCTAGCGCCTTAAGTTTTGTTAATTTTGCAGAAGTGCTCGAGTTCCAGACCAACTGTTTGTTTGTGTTTTGTTGCTTGTTTTTTTTTATTTTTAAAAACATCCGTGAGAAACATGTCGGATATATGCATTATAAATAAAATACCCAGACTCGTTGAAATTTATCTACAAATATCGACTTTTAGACGTCCACCAACCTCATAAAAGAAACATTGCAGCCATGATTCTCTCCACTAATCTAAAACGTAAAATTCTCAGCAGGAATTCCTGTCTCGGTATGGATGATCTTGTCCTCTTGGTTTGTTCATGCGAGTGATATCGTCGCCCTGCTAAATCTTGTACTTGTGTTTGAAAGATATCAGGAAAATTGTAAGGTTCCAGTCACACCTGTTCATATTCATTTGCTTAATTAAGAAATCATTCATTGTTCTGCAATTTATGAAAAATCAGAGAAAATATTTTGGAAATGTTGAATTGAATTGTTTTAATACTTCTTTATTTCATATTCATGAAAAATGAATGAAGCGTTTTTGTTCATTATTTTATTTTAACCATACTGCTTAATCCACAGGGTAAATTGAAATATCCAGTTAATTAGTATTAATAATTAGCATTAATATTTTCTTTTTAGAAACAATTTTCTGCAATCTTGCAGAAAATTATTAACTTTCTTTGGAACAAAATATGATTTTCTTGGGCCCAATAAATTTGACCCTGTAATTAGACGAGTTTGAGATGAATTGAATAAAAAATGGATCACGAGTAAAAAATTGATTTTCAAATTTTAAACAAATGAATAATGAATGAACAATTTTTACTTCAGCTATGGTTGCAGTGCCGCGGAAAATTTAAATTTTAGGATTACTCTGGACATGGGCCATGTGGGTGGTGATGTTGGGCGGTTCGGCGGTTTTGCCGGCTTGTATGATATTGTTGAATATCATGGATAGTGGAAGATTGCCATTTTTGGGGTCGATGTTGCCAATTTGGGAGGAAGGGAGTGGTGTGGGAGTCGCAGTTTTGCATATAGGCGCCATTTTGTTTCAAAGCTGGCAGTATTTCTCGTTCGTGCCCGGATTTACGTTTCTAATTGTGAATATTCTTATGGGGACGGTTATGAGCTTGTATATTTGTTTGGATGGAGTTATAACGTAAGTGAGTGGTTAGCGAAATTGATTGGTTATTGATTAATTTACCTGTCCAACCGGAATCCATATTTTTCCAAGTAAGAGCGAAAGTTTTTGCGACTTTAAAATTTGCAATAATTTTTTTTCCCAATCAACATATAAAGCAGTGCAACAAGAAATTGCACATACAAGTAGCTGGATAATTAACATACTTAAATTATCAAAAATATTCAAATGCATTCGTCCGTGGATACGATTCAGACTATTTATTGGTTTGTTGTCCAAACAAAGTTTTATCCTTGGGAAAATCATTTCATAGTTGCAACTTTGAAATTTATTTTTTACCACTTTACAGATTGTCCAAAACCTGCCCCGACTGTGATACCGCCACAATTTACAAGCTTCAATTAAACCTACTAAAACAACTCAAGATAGTAGAGGGTCAACTGAACACCTGTTTCCGAACCGCGGTTTTGCCTGGGTTCTTCTTTCTGCTTTGTTTCTGCCACACGATTACGACCTTCCTCTGCATTTCGTACGGATCAAACTTACTCGAGAACAGTGAAAATGGAGTGTTTGCTTTAATGTGGCTCCAAAGTTTACTGGGTATTTTATGCTTTGGAACGCTGGCTGGTTTTCTTAATCGGAATTCCTCCATTTTGCTAAAACATATGGGACGAGAAGCGAGAATGTTGGCCAGCCTGGACAAAATATCGTTCATTAAAGATATTTGGGGTTGTGGCGTGGTAAAAATTAGAATTTCTAGTTGTTTCGTCGGCATTATGACGCCTTTGGTTATGCTGAGTTTTTGTATTAGATGGACTGTTAGACTGCTTATATTTACCCGTACATAAACAGCTACTGTATTTTGGCCGATTGTATTAATATAGCGTGTCAATTTTAGGAGGAAATTAGAATTCTTTGTTCTTGCCTCGATTGGGAAAACGCAGAATTCTGAAACTTATAATTAGTATGAAATTTGCAAAGGGAACTGTCTGCTAATGCGCAGGTTTGGCGGAGATATTTGCATTCAAAACGGGAAAAATGCGCAGCAAATTTAGAAAATTAAAAATTAGCCAGCCTAGGGGTCGGTTTTCTCCTCTTTTTATGCAAATATCTCCGCCAAACTTGAGCATTGGCAGTTAGTTTCTTTTGCAAATTTCATACGAATAATATTTGTGATCGATTGACGCTACTTTGGTCTAAATCTGTGAGCATACGTTGGGAGACCTCCATTGTTAGTAATTTCCATATTTACCCATGCATACATATGTATGTAGCTGTAGGGGTACGAAGACTCTGGTGTTGTTTCAAAAGGAGGAAATTTTGAAAACTATTTGGTATATTTTATCTCATATTGTCAAATCATGTAAATATTCATTATCATTAAGAGGTCATATATTCATAAAAAAAACATCATTATCTTGTCAATATTCATAAATATAATTATGCCTCTGGACGGCAACGTGAAAACATTTTTTTGAGCGTGTGACCTATAGCTAACCAAAAACAATATACCAAAGTTTCAATTCGATCGGGTTATTATTGAGAAACTTTAAAATGCACAAATGTCCGGACTCTGGTAACAACATACATAAGCAAACTCACAGGATTAACTTATGTCATACCCGATCAATGATTAGACAGGGAGCTTCTCATTCTGTATTATTATTATTTCGTGGTGGTTAATTACTCGTCGCCTGAGCGCTCACTTGAACTAACTCTTACGCATTTTGTAATTACCAATGCTGAGATCCTACCCATTGCTGACAGCCACGTTGCGAGCACTGCACCAAACTGGTAAAAACACGAAATTGTACCTGATAAAATAAGAAACGTCAGGTTTTTCTAAACAGATCAACCAACCAAAATTCAAACGCTGTGGCAACATGTTGTTTGTCTTATTTTAGAAAACAAGTTACTCGCGTTTTGTACATGTCACTTAATTTAATTGGTTTCTGATGTATCGTTCATCAAAAATGATAACATAGTGTGATAGACAGGTCATTATTTTTTTATGTTGCTGCGTAAACAGAAGAGTAGGTATGAGGTTTATAAAAATTGTAACCCTGGTTATCAATATTTGTGAGATTGATACAAAGCTGGACGATACATAACAATATATACTTGCCTTCGAGAACGGCAGCAGTGGGTAACGATGGGTTTTTACATTCGTAAGTGATAACATACATACATATGGAAATAGTGCCATACAAAATTCCCCACGTTTTTAAAGATTTGAGCATCAAGCCACAAGACTGAATCATTCGAGTAATTGATTGATTTGTGGTCAACTTCAAATACAATATAATTAATGGGAACATGACGCTTTTCTAATTGTAACCAACAATTTAATTAACATTTCGTGTTCCCCATCACACTAACTGATTTCTGGTGCACCACTCGTTATCAGAGATGATAATGGGTCTGCAAAATTAAAAGGTTTGCATTTAAATACCGTCCTCCCATCGCAGTAACGCACAGGGAACAACTAATAATTTTCCTCTCCTCTTTTCACAAGTCATCGTAACAACTTCGCCCAAAATGAAACTCTTCATCATCATATTATCAATTTACCTCGTTTTCGACCACTCCGTGCAGTCCCAACTAATCGCCACAAAAGTAGCCGCTCTCCTCCCCTCCAAACGGTACGACACCACCGCCCATTACGACGAATCGACTGATTCGATCTACATCTTCGGCGGGTTGGGCCAATCCGGCGCCCTGACCGACTTTCTTCAATACTCCATCACATCCGAGACCGTAACTCGAGTCGGATCCCTTCCCGCGGTCCGTTATGGTGGCACAACGTCGTCCGATGCATCCTCCAATATTTACTACCACGGGGGGATTAGTACCGCAGAAATCTTTAAATTCTCCCCTACCCTCCACACCGTGGAAAACGTGACAATGATGCCTTACCCAAACACTAACGCGGCGTCGGTACAAGTGTCTCACTCTACCCCAGACGTGCTAATCCTTGGCGGTTATTGGGCCCGGAGTGGAGTCGTTCGTTTCAACATGGAAACCTTGGAAACACAAGTATTACCGTCACTCCCAATAAATTACACGGTCATCCTGGCCGTAAGTGATGGAGCGGGGAGCGCATACCTTTTTGGAAATCCGTACGTCGAAGCGCCAATTTCTGGGGAACATTTCGTCACGAAGATGAATTCGTCGACGTTAGAAACGGTTCAAATTGGGGGTCCTACATTTCCATCGGTTCGAAGTAAAGGGGCGGCCGTCTGGGATGGGAGTGATGTTTACGTGGTAGGAGGATACGGCGGGTTGGTGGCGGGGATTAGGAGCGATTCTGTTTTGAAATGGAGTCCAGCCACGATGGAGCATAGGGTGATTCCGGTCCTGAATTTTCCCTGGGCATTCGACAAGCAAGAGTTTAAAGGGGCCAGTGCCGTCTATGTGGAGAGATTGAGGAGGATTTACTTCTTTGGGGGAATGTCGCAAAATGCGAGTACTGGGATTTTTATGAGGCACGATGGGATTTGGTATATTCAATTGTAGATGGGAGTGGTTTTGGTTGAAAAGAAAGGATTAATATGTTTTTGTAAAAATTTAAGTATTTCCCGGCTGGGTAACAATTTTTGGCATTATTCAGGATTTACGTATTTGATTTCTAAAAAAACTTAAGTATTTGATAAGAACGTTGATGTATTTAAGTAGTTAATAAAAGAAATAAAACGGTAAATTTATTATTATGGCATGGAATCAAATTGTGAGAAATGTATTTAAAGAAGGCATATGAAATTTAGAAATGACTCTATCAGTACGGTGGTCGTATATGTTTACCGCGTGGTAACAAAATTTCTTAGAGTGTGCCATGTTGACCCATGCTTGCAAAGGCTTTCTCGTACATAGTTATGCATAAAACCAAACTAGGATTTGTTGCTAGAATTTATTCAACTATATTTTGTCAAAGATATGAATTAGAGATATTCTGAATTTGCTGTTTTAAATTTGGTGGTTCCTTAACGTGCCCTTGCATCAGTGTTACTTGCTGACTACCGGTCTCTGGCAAAGCACATAAATTTCTTCCGGTTCTCCAGTATGATCCAAGCAATCAATGGTCCACCAAATTTGAAGCTCTTCAATGAAATACATACAGCTATTTCTATTATTTGGCTGTGTAGCTCCCCATCGAGTATAGTTAAATAGAACTCGGTCAGTTCGCCAGAACCACTCACTCGTTCCAGGAAAAGCGTTGGTTCCTCCTAACCAAAAGTTGTAAACTATGGAAAACACAAGATTTCGTTAATCACTATATTACAATGAATCTGTGTAAATTAGCGAATGTTAGCCTTACACAAGGGAACAAACAAGTACACTTGTTGGTATTGATGAGCCGTGACAGTTTCCCCGATGGTCATGTTGAATGCGTCGCAATAAGCGACGGCATCTGTCCAGCTTATGTTCTTGGGAAAAAATAAAACATGTGCAAACCAACTTTTGACCAGGATTGGCCAAATGTACACTCTAAGAAACCCGGTAACTAAGTTATTACCAGGCAGAGTATCTATGTGACTCTACCGCATGGTAACTAATTTATTACTGAGTGGTAGATATTTTGTTACCAAACAGGTAATAACCCCGGTCGAGAAATTTGAAAATATTACCAGTTGGTAACTAATTTTCTACCACGCAATAATAAATTAATCACCATGCGGTAGAGTCACATTAATACTCCGCTTGGTAATAAATTAGTTACCTGGTTTCGTATGTAGAGTGTATAAATTATTTACCCTGTATCCCGAGTCCACAAAATATTCTTTCCCCTCAACTATCACAACGGGGACGAGTTCTCTACCATCCTCAAGTCGTAATTTGTTCGGGATTTGCTCCAAATCCTGCTTGGTGCCTACAAATAAATTGATACATGATGTAAACATTTTTCTCAATAGCCTGATTATAATATTTTTTTTATTTTTGCGCTCACGTTTCCCAACGGCAGTGCCAAATAATGCTAAGAGTGATAGAACGCTTAAAGCTAAGACTTTCTTGAAAACCAGCATCCTGCTCTGTTCGTTAGAAACGTATGTTTGCAGTAGGTTTAGGGAATTGAAAATGTATACGTGGCAAGCAATTGTTATACAAATATGTATGTACCACAACTTATCGTTATCAGTTGTCAAGTTCAATTCAGTCAATTTTTCATACTCAAGTTGTCGTAGTGTAAGGTATGTATTAGATTACGTGAGATAATTACCTTATCGCTGCCATTCGGTAACCTTGGTATCGAGTTATGTATATACATACTAGCGTAATGGCCCGTCTTAAAGTCGTCCATATTTCCGTAATACAAATATTCCAAAAGTATTCCACAACTAACTAATTGTACTAATTTAAATCCAAAATATATTTCCCGAGCAAACTGTGTACTGTGTAACATCAAATAGAATTCAGCACTATGATCGTAATAGACTTGCCCTTATTTATAAAATTTTTGGTTGCTAAGCAATTTTTACATTGCCACGCAATTTTTTTAACGTTGCTAAGGAATTCTTATACGTTGCTAAGGAATTTTTTTACGCTGCCAATGAATTTTTTTGCACAACCATATTCATAGTCATAATCATAGTAATGGTCATAATTATAATCAAAATTTGTATCCCTTGCCTGATTGGTGGAGCCAGAAACCCGGCGACCAACCAGAATGCAGAAATGTCACAGAAAACTCGACGGGACGGACTTTTCGAAATTATAATATAGATTTGTGTATATAATTACGTAAGCTTTAATTTATTAGTAGGCTATGTGATGAATCCAAATAACCTACTTTTTAACGAAGAGCAATTATGTATTAAAACTGTTTGTACGATTTTAATTACGTAAATACATTCATACATTACAGTAAACAAAATTTAAATCACCCCGTCATCAATGGACATCCCCCACCACATACACACAAAGACGTTGAGAATCCTCACTTCTATTCTTCTTCTTTGAGTGTCAACAATGTGCGAAATAAACCACGGATGATACCCTGCACGAATTTCAAGACGGATTTATGCGTCACAGTCATAAATCCGTCCAACCCAAAATACAATGGTTTACAGCTCTTCCTAAATTTTGACATGTACCTCCTATCCTCCTTCGATTCCCACTGATCTCTATTTACCCTCCAAGAAATTAGACACTCCTTCGAAGACTTTTGTATTTTTCCCGCACACGTCATCATTGCCACCCAGAACAGCACGGCGACCGCATCACACGTTAAAAAGGTCATCCTCGTGGCTAGCTTGATCTTCCTTCCTTCCGCAATTAGCACGTATCCCGTGGCAAGCGCGAGTTGACCCAATATAATTTGCATAATTGGGAAGTATATGCCAAGCAAGAGTCGAAGTTCGCGCATGGCCAGTTGTAAGGATCGATACACGTGGACGAGATGTTTTGGGTGACTCACAAGTTCTGGGGAACATTTGAATTTTCTGACTTCCCGGGGTTTCTTACTTAGCGTGAGTTCTTGCAAGAGCGGGAAGATAAACAAAAGTAAGCCGGGGAACGTTTGTATCAGTATGATCGAATACGATGCCACAATAGCATGTGAGTACAGCATGGCCGGTGCGTAGAAGAAGTAAGCTAAGTTAAATAGAGCGGGGTAATTTGAAAATATGGTGGGAATGTACATCGGATGGAAGGGCGTGATGAGAATCTGACACCAGATAAGGAACGGGAGAGGATACATCAATAATTTGGCGGGGCGGGTGATCAGGAGCCAGTTTCGGTTGTACGTGGAAACTGCAGTTGATCCGGTAAAGTTCCAGTATGTGTCTTAATAAGGAAGTAATGAAACAGCTTTATATGTGAGGTTGCTACTGGGTCTCGAGTTCAGGTTCGGATGGTAGGCAACGGGTGGGCAAAGGGCAATGGGTTAACCCGCTCATTTGCACCCGCTCATTTGCACCCGTCCAATTTCACCCACTCATTTGCACCCGCTCAATTTCACCCATTCATTTGCACCCGCTCAATTTCACCTGCTCATTTGCACCTGTTCAATTTCACCCATTCATTTGCACCCGCTCAATTTCACCTGCTCATTTGCACCTGTTCAATTTCATCCGTTCATTTGTACCCGTTCGATTTCAGCCGCTCGTTTGAAATAAATATGAGTCTGTACAAGTGAGCGGGTGCGTCTTTTCAATGGCTATTTAAACGTACCATGGATTTTCACGCTGAGTAAAAACATTCCATTCCAGTATCGCGCCACTTCTTTCGGCCGATCTGCAAGTGTATACACTCCAACACACATTCCCATCCAGGCGTACCAAATCACGAGGAGTAAATTGAAATGGGGCGAATTTGGCATACATTTGTGCCTTATGGTTTGCACAAATAGGTAAAAGGTGTAGAGATATATGTATTTCGTAACAAACTTGGTTCTAGAATGAAATTTCAGCGAAAATTCTAACCTTCCATTTGTTTTGTCCCAAATTAACGAAAATCCCAATCTGTTTGCGGTTTTAATCGTTTTCGAAAACTCTTGGGAGAATAAGTCCGTAAACATTTTTTCGTTTGGACCGAATATCTAGTTACATATAAGAAGAGAAAATGGTCTCCAGGGAGTTTAAATACATGTTTGATTGACCTTTGCCTCACAAAGTAATTATAATTTTGTTAAATATTTTCATTACTTTTATATAAGGTCTGCAGCGTAAATCTTGGGACTGTGAGACAATTGAGTTTCTTTTAAACCAGAATTTTAGAATTTCCCATATTTGGTAAATAGAAGTAATCCTTTAACGTCAGTATTTAGATATCAAATTAACTATCTGGTTTTCAATCTATTTATGACGGTCCTGCTCACCGTATATCAATACCCGTTCACATTCATTCATGTGAATGATTATGATAGAAAATTATAGTGGATGAAAATGAATTTCCTGACACTAGAATGAGAATGAAGTTCCTTTTATTTGAATGAAAATGACCGAAGGATTCAGTCGTTTCAGATGAGTGATTGTGAAGGACAGGATTTCTCACTCATTTCATTTTTCACCATCTGCTTAATACATGGGGCGAAGTAAGAAATGAAGTCACATGAAATAAAACGAAATTAGTTTGAAAGGAAACGACTGAATGTCATTACATTCAGTCGTTTTGTAGAGAGCTTTTACTTCAATTACTTATTTTACAACCGCTTTTCGCTCTTGATGTTTGATCCTGAATTTAATTTGAAGCCTTACATATGCAGATCTGGTGGATCCTTTTATGCACAACTCCTAAGTTTTAACGCCTATGACAGCTGCTGGGTGCAACTGAAATTAATCAGTAGCTTTGCGCTCAGGCTTCTGAGTGAAAAATATTTAGCTACTTACACCATTTTTGAGACTGACCATGAAACTGGATAATCTGAGGTGTTACTTATTTTAATTTTACTAATCTTTTTTATCAAAACTTAGCGGTTTTTGATGTCCGTTGATTTTTGAAGTTCTAATTGTCTTTTAAAAGTCTCTTTCTTGCTAAATTTGATAACGGTTTTTCAAAGTTACCAACTCGTGCCCGTCCCACCACGACTGGTCTTATTTAGAATTTTACTTTCAGCTAGTGCGAATCTCTAGATTCGGTTCTGTTATGAAATTGAGCTTACCATATGCGCATTCATTTATAGCCTGACAACTAAATAATCATTCTTGCGCGCTATTGAAAAAAACAGTGCCACAACGTATGCAACAGACCTTATTTAATGTAAAGATTCAGCCAAATATCAGAAAATTAGAGCAGCAATATTTTATTGCCTTCTCGGCCTAATTAATGTTTACCCATTGCTCAGAAATTGGTAAAGAATTTTTATGTAACTGTGTATCACCGTTCTTAGATGTCATACATAAATATGTGGACTATGATTAGTTACCTTCAATAAAGGTTATATACATAAAATATCATGGAAGCAAAGTTCAAATTAATTCGGGTCAATTGTCAAGAATACATTTGCGGCTAATAAATTTTACATGTTATGTAGGAGTTAATTTGACATGAATCGGTACACATGAATATGTACCTAGAGATACGTATGTACTTTATTTCCAATTTGTGGATCAAACATGCTTAAAAATACATGTAGGCATTGGTGAAAATGTAACTAATTGGGTTAACATATGAATACTTGATGAGCACCCCGAAGTCAAGGTACACCTAGTTAGTAACCGAATTTTGTTTGAATTAACATATAAATTTACAGGTACATAAACCAAGGGAATTAGACATTTGCATAACAAAACGCTTAATATATAGGCCGGTGAGACGAGATGATACGAGATAGACCCCATCTCATCTCTCAGACAAGTGAGATGAGACGAAACTTAAATGAGACGTTCAAAATTGTATCTCATCTCATCTAGTCTCATTTATTTTTTGCTGGGACGAGATGAGACAAATAAGAACTAATGGGTCTCATCTCTCCACACTATCATCTCGCCGTAATATCACAACATTTGAGCTGTCTCAGATGAGTTCGTATCTCATTTGGCCCCAGTCTCATCTCTGATCTCTCCCACAACCCTATTCATAAAAGTAATAAAACCAGGTTCAGAAATCAATATCTAATTCTACTTAAAGCTATTTCCAATTCCTTGCAACATATCCTATTGGTATCACCAGGGTTAACCAACTTGTTAATAAGTTTTACCCAAATTACGAACTTGTCCTCGACAAGAACCTTCAAGTATAAAAATCTTTGCTTTGAATTTGAAAGTTTACCTAATTGTGCAGAAATTTTGGACATATTAGTATCCAGACATTTACGCTGCAATAATTCCAAAAACAAAAGTCCCAAACTGTACATATCCGTCTTTGTCGTGTAGCCTGACCCAGATCTCAATTCTGGACTCCAATAATCTTTAGTTCCTACATTACCAAAACGCCTGTCTCCGAAATACTTTGTGGCTAAACCAAAGTCCCCAATTACCCAAGTACAGCCCCCTGTTTTGTTCATCTTGCAAAATATATTTCCCGGTTTTATATCCCTGTGGATAAATCCTTTTGCATGAATGTGTTTTAAACACATTGTCACATCTCTGAATATGGGGGCAATATGCCCATTTCCAAAATCAGGAATAAGTCGACAATTTTCTAGAAAATATTTCAACGTGTACTGACAAA